CAGACCCCTGCCAACTGTAACGAATCAAAACGGGTTCTGCTTGCTTTGAGTCTGTGGTAGTTTGCTTTTTGGATTGCTTGACAGCCCCTTTAAGGAAGATAGCCCTCGTCGTCCCAAACTGCTTTTGGCTGATGTGGCCTTGGGAACATGGCTTGTTGCCTAACGACAGGGGGGTTACCCAACTGGAGACACGCCCATTCAGGGCAACCGCCAATTATTTGTCCATTTGGGGAACGACCTGAACAATACATTCGTGGCACAAAAGGCTGCTGTCACATACAGCTGTCCCTTTTTGTTGAGGGTTCCCTTTTCGGGCATTGGTGTTTTTCGGGGCCGCAAGTTGTGGTTCCACCCACTAGTCGACTCCATGTTCCGCCCAAATTCCTGGGCTCTCGACGCGTCCCGGGCCTCCTGGGTGTCCAAAGGCTCCACCCAGCTGATGTTGCCCCCCAGGTCTGTGAAGTCCAAGTCCAGGTCCAGGAACTCCTGCGACTTTGAAGACCAAAGCCGCGCGGCCGACTAAACTGTCGCTGCAGTTGTTGACGAATAGGGCCCTGACTGGAGATAGGGCCGGAAGAAAGCAAAACAAATGGAGAAAATGGGGCCTGAGCAACATAACTCTGCTATTCTACAGCTCCAACCTGAAATGAGAGATCCTCAGGGAAAGGACCAACATCATGGTCATCTCGTTTTTGCCCCAGGCGAGCCAAAGATAAAAGGCAGCTTAGAATGAGGGTCGGAGGGTACCATTGAACCAAGTTACCTCTTGTTCATGCGAACATGGACTGAGCCCCTTGCAACGAGAACCCAGCCGATGTATTAACTGGAGTCCCAGATTGGAGGAGATCTAGTTCACTTGGGGAACAACCGACATCAGCCGACCATCCGTCAGGTTGACTAACCCAGGGTCAACATCACTCTAAGTACTAGATGTGAATAGGGCGTATAAGAGTTGTCAAAGGGCAGTCCAGGGTGAAACATGATAATAAGTACCAAACAAACACTGATATCTTATACTATATCCTATATACATTGGTATATATAGTATGTGCGCATACATAGTGTGTCTTGGCGGGGTATTGCGTGGGTCATAGCCCAGGTTTCAAACCACTGAACTGGGCTCAATGAACACACCCAACAGAACTCGTTCCTGAACTGGGTGCAACACAGCGGAAGAAAAACAAGTGTCAAGGAAAAAAAAGGAAAGCAGGATGGAGAACATGGGGAAAACAAACCCCTGTCATTTGAGGGATGTGTGTTTGACAATTGTTCGTCTTGGCAATTAGAATGATCCAGATGGAGCCTACCAAGAAAGGGGTCACCGTGCTGCTCTGACAGACAGAGCGAGAGAGAGAGAGAGAAAGAGAAAAAACAAAACTTGTGCAAGTTGTGTTCCAAGCAAGCTATTCAATGGCAAACCTCTCCCAAATGCGTGATCCATTGTGGGCTGTTCCTAATGACCCCCTGCAAGACTTAATGTGCTGCTGGTCTGCTGGTTGCTGAAATCAGTCATTCCAGAAAGTCACAAAAGACCGAAGCAAAGACCAACCTATTGGGCCGAACCCGTCCCAAGTGGCATTGAGGCCCGCGCAATGGTGGACACGATGGAGCGGGTGTCGGACAAGGCGAAGGCCGCCGGTGTGGTTTGCTCCACCAAGTACGAGCGGGTGTAGATCCTCAGTCACGCGGATGTTTCTCGAGAACTTTGCACCCGTCCCCGATACGACCTGTACACTTCAATTATATCTATGTATGGCTGTGACTGTTGTAAAGGAAGCCTTTGGTGGACATTATTTTGGTGTGGACTTTTGCTCACCAATCACTTTGGATGCGGTCCCCTATTCAAGTTCATAGCCGTATCATATATAGGCTTCCCCACCATGGAAGCACATCGACTTCACAACAAGGTCTGTGCAGTTGCATGTGGCACAAGGGTTGGGTACCTCTCTACGTACCATGTGCTTGAAATGAAGACACAAGAGTTGTGGAATGGACATACCTGTGGCACCGACCCCACGCAGGACACCAACTAAAGGACTAGTTCACACTTGGATCTTCAGACAAGCGATGTGACCAATGCTAAGCAAATCATCTCAGCCCCGCATTTCCAGCGTGAGCAACCTGTCATGTCTCCATGCATGCATCGCAAACAGACCACTTCCTCAAAAGGACATGGGGAAAACAGCCGGGGCCGCCGTTTTTCTTGTGGTCTTCTTGTGGGACCTTGAACGTGGGCCCTCCAAGTCCTCCCAAACCAACAGTCTGCCAAGCAATATACAAGTGGCTCACATGCCATTCAAGCGCAAGCTGAGTTGTGTATGTTGTGAACGCTGCTGCCTGATAGGCAGCACTTGGAGGACAGTCAGCCAGCCAAAGGTGTTGATATGCAAGTCTGAGAGTTCAAGCAAGGTACATTCCAAGGGCATCTAGTGGTGATTGATGTTGTTGTAGTTGCTATCCTTTTGCTCGGCCCAAGTTGAGGCTTGAGGCAACACGTCATGGCCCAAGTTTTGGGCTCCAAACCCAGCTTTCGACGTCCGATTGATTGTTCGGCGCGGGGCAGCAAATGGGTGTGCGGGCCCTGGGCAATGTCAGGCGGAAGCAGCTGACGGCTCTCGCCTGAGGAGCAAGAGAGAGTCTATGCGCGCGCGAAGTGCGCAGAAGGATTTGAGAACGCTTGGTTTTAAAAGTGTGCTACCGGATTTCCTGACAAAAACCGCGCCGTTCCCATTTTACGTACTGATCCTTTCGTTCTGCCAACCTCGAACCTGTTTTAAAACCTCCGTTTTAGCATTTGGTCGGCCCAAACCTCCTATTGTCTCGCTAGAACCAATATGTGGTGGCATAGGAAAACCCTCAGGGGTACACTAAGTTTTGTTTTGATTTTTCCCCGAAATAACAGACTTGCAGATGACCCCTGAATATGCAACAGGATAGAGGCTTTCCTAGAAAAATTATGTCCCTCCCATCCAACCAGACTAAAGGGTCCTGGAAGACAATTTTCCTCTAAAAAGGACCCTCTGGAATCCGTGTGAGTGGACGGGCGGGTACTCAGGACCATGATTCTACTGGAAAACCCATGATCATGAGTCTTCAGCAGGGTCCAAGCCAGTGAGTAATACGATGACAAGGCTGAGTGGAGCATCGCCAGCCCGCAAGGGCACATTTAGCAGGTCTCTTGGAGGTATCCTCTAGGGTTGGATTCAAGGGAAGCCAAGGGGGAACTGCCATGTTTGGGATGAGACAACACCATCTCTGAAGGTCAACTCACAGTGGTGCCAAGGGCCCCGCATGTCCTCATCAAACAAAAGACCTGGTAAGTTGCAGATCAGGCCCTTCCCTAAATCCTTTCCCCCCCGCTTTCATCCGTGCTGCCCCTTGCTCCCTTTTTTTTTGCTTCCATCTATTTTCCTTTCCCTTTCCTGCATGGCTATGGGCGGGCAAAGACTAACCCGAAAGTGAGTTCCAATGCGCTCGGTGAAGATCAGCGGTGCCCTTTACGCCATTTGGGTCGGTCTCCACGTAGATGCCTCATGGCCTCCTCTGAAGGCAACCTCAAGAAGACTCCTTAAACAATCTTTCCCCGGTCAAAAGGGCATAACTGAATGATGCTTTTCAATGCAACCAGCACCTCCTTCCTTTTTCTTGGCTAACCCTTTTTGTGAACCGCCCGTGTGCGCGCGCCCCCATTTTAAGACGTGCGATTTGAAGCCTTTTGTCAACATATGAACCTCTCTGGTTTGGCCAATCCCCGCCGAAGGCCAAAGGGTGGTGCGATGCATCTTTTCACGAATATGGACGTGCCATCCTTGCGGGTACCCTTTGAATCTTGGTTGAAGGGAAATGAAAGGATACTGCGCTTTTTTTGGGGTCACCTATTTTGACGCATAGCCATTCTAGCACAGCCAAAACTCCTCGAAATTTTGCCCAATGAGCTGCCTCAGGACAACCGGCCGAACTGTGGCGTACGGCAGAAGGACCGCCATTGGCAGGTCTACCGCCCCTAGTGGCAAATACGCGCTCGTTCCCCAGGAACATTTTTGAGATCTCGAGACCTCTACAACTCTTTGAAAGGAGCCGCGCTCCTATCATTATTGGCGTCGCAGCCTCATCAACCATTCTGCCCAACCCTCTGAAGGGGACTCTCAAATGGAATGAGGATCCATTCCGTGACGCAGGCGTGAAAGTGGTCCTGAATAGTATTTAGGAAACTGGAACATGATTGCCTGACTGAAAACTCAGATTAGATTATCTATTGAAAGCTCCATCACCATCCCAGTAACCTAAGTAAGAGGAAGGTTTGACGCATGTGCATTGTCTGCTGGGTGTCCCGGCCCGCAGGAACGATGCTGCCCACACTGCTGCGGTTGCTACCCACTTCATCCTCCGCAAAGTAGAAGAGGTAGTCCTGGCCAAATCTGCATGACAAAAAACTGGGCTGTTCAACATAGGGACATCCCCGAATCCTACTCCGTCATCCCTATGACACCACTACAAGGATATCATTCTGTCTGGCATAAGGATTGAGGATTGTTTTTGAACCCAAATGCACTGCAACTAACCTGTAAGGAATTGAAATGAACCATCATTGGAAATCCTTCTAGACGTGATGTCCAACGTTTGGACTAAAACTTGTCAACCAACAGGCACGTCTACCCACGCCTGCCAACTGATGCATGATATCCTTTAAAACGGAAAACCCTCCACTTTTTGGGCTCCCCCAGATTATTTTGACAGACACCCGTATCCACCTATGCACTTGGCTCTGCTCTATGCTGTGCAGAGAAGCCAAAGCTCTGTATCGCCGCTGGAAGAACAAACAACGCCCGCCTCAGTCTAGAAATCCTCGTGAAGGTTCTTCCTCTACTTCCCCAAATGGGACATGGCCAAAAGGCCCTGCAAGCCAGCATTGAAACTCATGAGTGTGCGCCAATGGGTAGCTTTGATCATCCTGAGGTCTAACAATTGAAACTAACGCGGAAAATATCCGCCAACAACCCGGGTGGTTCCGGCCGCCCCACCATTGCCAGCGGGTTCTTACAAGCTCAAAACTGTCTGCAGTTTATTGACAAGCTAGAACAAACATGAACGAACACTCACCCGCCAATCAAGGATTGCGCAAAGCACAAAGCAGCAAGGAGCTCCAAGCACAAGGCTGCGTGCCTTTGAACGAATTTCAGCTGCCAAACCAGCTAATGGGGTTGGGTTCCTTAAAACCAACATAAACCAACAGTCATGGTTGTCAGGATGATAATGATGTGCATGATTAATCCCTCAACCTCTTATATGACATCCAGCGCTTTCAGATCTCAACATGGGCAATGGACTCGCCCTCCTGAACGCGAGTGGAATCCACCGGCTCCGACCAGGTCACGTTACCGCCAAACTCGAAGGGATCCAAGTCCTTGCGTCGGGATCATGTGACAATTGAACAGGGGGCCCAAAGGGTGGCCAATTTTCTCATCGAATCCATGTCCGACCGCTTGTGAGGTGGCTCCCTGTCAAAACTCATAGCGAGATGGGTGTAATTGTTACTCACCTCTTTGGTGGACGTCGTCACATCATATAAATGGGGAGTTTCTGTCCACCAAGCATTTTTGAGGGGTGCCCGTGGAAGAATCATAGCTAAATGAGAATACCCTGCCAACATGCACCCTTTGCAACCATAGAGTCATCCGGCTTCTGTGCCAGGAGGGTCCCAAACACTTGACAGTTTTGGCGATCCAACGGAAGGGTACCGTGTGACATGTCCAGCTCGGAGGTGGAGAGTATTTGGTTGGTTAAGAACAAGCCCAAACTGGGTTGCACTTCCTTCCTCAGCAAAAAGTCTATCCTTTTGCAGGTTGAAGGGAAAAGGGAGTTGTTTCCGAAAGGTCTAAGGGGCACATGTCACACCAAAGACCAGTCATCAATAATTGCTGTCATCAAACTCACCCTTCAAATGATACTGTCAAGGGAAATAACCATGTGCAGGTAGCCACATCGTGCAGGTTGCTGTAAGGGGCAGGCATGCACAGCAGCCTGCAGTACACCTAAAACACTCCTTGAACGTGGGCTGAGCGCTCATGCCGTGTCTTACAATTATGTTTAAGCACTGCATTTGAAGTAATCATCTGGATGGCCCAAACATACAAACACAAGAACCGATATGTCGAAGACCATTCAATTCGATACCTCCCCCCCTTCCCAATCTGCAAACTCCCATCCCCATTGTTTGATGCTCATGCGCAGGCGGAGTCATTCGTTCCAACGCTGGCCAAGCTTCATCATCAATGAAGCCAATTCCTGAGCTCAGCAGCCGATTCTCTAAGACAAAAAACAACATGTGGCTGTCTTGAAGTTGGCCACAACTTCTGAAGCACAAAGTTCAACATTTTGTGCTGTGGCAGTGGTTCTTAATGCTTCATGCCAGTATGCAAGGCATGACGGTCTTCTTGGGCAGCATGATCCAAGTTGGTCTAACTCTTCACAGAAAACAAAAAAACAAAACTCCACAAGGTGTTGCCGATAGGCCGTTTGACAGGCTCGCTACAATAAATCCTCAAACGGGGCAAGGGCAACCAGGCCCAAGGGCATTTGCACGTCTGCCTTAAGTCAATCTCACCTGTTCCACTCCATCGAAACTCGTGACGCGCTTCAATAAACACCAGGTTGTGAGGATCCCCATTTTGTTGGGGGATAACCCTGGGGGTGTGTCCTCATGACAATGCTCCTGATCGACCAAGCGTCCTCCCACCGTGGCAGTCGCATCAAAGATCAGATGCTCCGATGGTGTGGATTGCTCTACCAAGGAGGAGCTGGTGTAAATCACCTCGTCGCAAAGCTCAGAGCGGCGACTGAAAGCTACCGGAAATAGCACTGGATATCTGCCGAAACCCACGACTCAGCAAGTGTTTGGCTGTCCCGCCGGTTGGTCCGTACAGGGAGGCTACCGAATTGTAAAACCAACAAACAAGAAAGAAGTAGGCGAAACACTCATCAATCAAACGCACAAGCTTTCGTGCATTCATTTGCAGCATGCACGTATCCTTGACAGTTGCCTATTGACCCTTTGTGCAAAGCAACAAGTTACCTTCAAACACACATACTTGCTGCCAAAATGATTGCGCCTCCAGCCTGAGCGAAGCTGCCTAATTTTATGCAACAGTCTTTTCACTACGCTGCATATGCAGGTATTTTTCAGCTCAAGGATCGGAACTGCGGTGTTTTGGCATGATGCGTTACCGGGCCCCTATAATTCAATGTTGCATTTGCTGCCGGCTTTCCCAGGTGCACCTGGGTAAAGGTAGTGGCATATCTCGATTTTGCGGGTGATGCAGCTCAAAATTCGGGAACTGCGGCGTTTTGGGATGATGGGTTGGAATACAATGCACATCTCAATGACGCAGGTGATGTAGCTTAAAATGTAGTAAATGTGGGATGATGGCCCCTAGCAATTGTGCATTTATGCTTGACTCTTCAGAACGGCTAGTCAAACAGAACAAAACTGAATTTCCTTGA